AATTAGTTCAGTCTGAGCAACCCTGAGCCAGCAGGCCAGTGGGACTGCGTGAACCAAAACCCAGGAGGGACCCCGAGCTTTACGATGGCCCAGGAGCTGGGGACACTGCAGGCACAGGGCACTTTCACAGCATCACCGTGGTAGTCAGCTCGGCTGCATAGCAGCGCCGTGGATGACGACTAAGGGGCGGATCTGTCCTCAGTCTGGGGCCGGATGTCCCAGCCCCCAAGGCGGCTGGACAGCTGCCTCCCGTGGTCTCTCCCGTTGGCGTGCGGACGGCCGCCTTCTCCCAAGTCCTCATGGTCGTCCTGGTCTCTTTCTTGTAGGGACATGTGTCACTGCGTCAGGGCCACCCATGTGACCTCACTTTAACTTGTCCCAATAAGGTCATGTTCACAGGTAGCAGGAGTCAGACTCTAACATGCCCATTTGGGGACATAATTCAGCCTGTAACACACACACATAGCTTTTGTGGTGCTCAAAGATCTTCCCAGGACTGAGAGGCGCCACACTCTCAAGACAGGGAGCAAAGTCCAGCCTGCCCCTCGGGGCTGCCAGGGCCCAAGCCCCCGGGCGCCATGCTGGCGTGGCCCTCTGTCTTCCCATCTGTGCAGCGGGCCGTGTGGGGTTCCACCCTGCTGGTGCTTGCTGTAGAGCCTGCCTGGGTCCCACCCCGTCCCTGCTCTCGTCCACGGCCAACAAGTGTGGACAGGAAGAGCCGTGGGCTGGGTGCAGAAGATCCTGCACCTGGGACCTGGCAAGCTGGTCGAGGGGGCCACATGTAGGCACTGGAGCGGCTGCATTCAGTGACTTCAGGGCTCTCCTTAAAATGTGGAGTCTGCATTGTCCCCTGAGCTGCCCTTTGCCACTTTTTGGGGACCCCAAACAAGCCTCTAGGCCTCAAAGTTCCTCACCTGCAAAATGGGGCCTCACTGACCTTGTGCAGTCTTGGGGGTGCAGTGGAGTGAGACGAGATGCCTAAGAGAAGAGCTGGGAGGCCCCTAGGCCTGAGGACAGTGTGTGGCTCATGCTGCCAGGAAGGGGCCCCCTCTGGGTGGCTCGTTTTCTACTTGCTTGAAGCCAACTAGCTGGGTTTTAGCAGGACGCTGGGTGAAATGCTATGTTCCATAAAGCCTGCGTTGAGTTCTCACTCATGTGAGCAGGCTGCCCTGCCGTCCCCTTGCTGCTTTGCTGTCCCCAGCCTGCCGTCCCCTCACTACCCCGCTGTCACATTGTGCCCCACCATCCCCTCACTGCCCTGCTGTCCTTGTGGCCCCAGTTGGAGGGCCCGTGCCCACCTGAGCCTGGCTGTGAGCCAAGCCCTGAGTGTCATTTAAAAATTAACCTTTGCAGTGTGTTGGGAGGTTTTCTTCTCTATTAAACACACTCATCTTGACTTAATTGTATTTTAGGGCTGGCACAACAAATTCTTTTTATGTATGTGTGAACATATATAGACAAATACATGTATGATGTTGGTGGGTTACCATTTGTGGTATTTTTACTAAGCAAAGATGTGGAAGCCAAACAGTAGCCCCACAGGGCGCTTCCCATCGTGCCGCATGTGCGAGGGGCGCCGCCGAGGGTGGGTGCTGCCGGACTGTCAGGGCCCCCGTCCACGGGATCTTGGGTGGAACCACTTGCCAGCCACCGGCACGCTGGCTTCAAGGACAACGCCCATCCTCGACCTTTCCCAACCTCCTGTCCTCGAAGCCACCCTGCTCGCCAGGTTTGGAGAGCCTCTGTGCCCCTCGTCTGACTGTCCGGCGCTTGCTGTCTCTGTGCCTGGCTCACTGTCCCTATAATGTGTTTACTGTCTGGATTCCATCATCCAACTGTGAGCACAGCATGTGTCCCCAAGGTCGGCCCATCCCAACCGACATGGCTTTGGGGATGCTGTCTGGTCAACCACGCCGCCTGCTGACCAGGTGCTCAGCCCCCGGGATCAGGAGCAACACAGGGTGGCCCCACCGGTCAGCTGGCCAGGGAAGCCACCCAACTCCACATGGCCTCCGTGTGCGATCAGACCGCGGGACGTGGGAGGCTGAACGTCTGTCATCGCTGTCCTCAGCAGCCCCTGAGGCTGGGGTGAGGAGCCAGTGGAAGGGACTGCAGTGGGGAAGTCTCCGTAGGGGTCACGGAGCAGAACAGGGGAAGCAGAGCATGCTGGGAACCGCTCAATACCACTGGACTGCCCACTTCAACATGGTCCCTTCTGTTATGTGAATTTCACCCCTAAACAAATCTTAAGAAGAAGCTGGGCATGAAACGTCTAGAACTGGCCAATTTGAGTAGTAGTGTGGTGGCTGCCCAGGGCTGGTGGGAGGGTGATCAAGGGGCTGGGTTCTTTCTGGGGAGGTGAAATGTTCCAGAATTCACTGTGGTGATGGTCGTGAATGGTGCAGGGGACTGAAAACCACTTTAAATGGTTATTATTAATGAAATGGTAACTCCCACACACACAGAGCACCTGTGGAATATTCTGGAGGGAAGCCCATCACCCCAGCCGAGGAGGGCTGAGCTGAGAAAGCACCCCTCCCCCGGGGTCTGCTCTGCCTGGGTGCCAGGCGCCATAGCACAGCTGAGCCACCCACGCGTGGTGTTTCTCCCTCAGGGTCCCTCTGGCTTTGGGGCACCAGCATGTGGTGAGAGCTGTGGGCCCCTCTGCTTGGCACAAAGGAGAAAGCCACGTTGAGCACTGAGCATTTTGGGGCGCATGGACCCACCCAAAGGCCCCCCATCAGGAGCCCATAGGGGGTGCTTTGGGCCTCTGGGGCTGCGCTGGGATGTCTGTGCTCTCTGTAGGGTTGCTTACCAGGGTCACAGGGGGGACATGGCAGGATGTGGGCGAGGTGGCCTCTGCAGGGCCCCGGGAGCGCCTTTGGCATCTCCCAGTGGTTTCCACACTGGGGAACTGGTTCTGTGGCCCCTGTTCTATCCCACGGGGCCCCAGTGCAGGACACCCTGCCATCAGTCCTTTCACCTCCAGCCCGGAGATGCACTCCTGGTGATGCGACGGTGCCGACGGCCCGCTCTGGTGCAGACACCACCCTGCCAGCCTCCGACCTGCGGCTGGGGAAAGCGTGCATTTTCCATGGATTCACAGCTGTGTCTAAGGACCGGGGCTGGGAGGCACTGGCTTCAGGTTGGGGGAGGTCGGTCTGGGGCTCTGGGCTCTGGGCTGTGGGCTGGGCCGGGCCCGAAGGCTGCTGCAAGAATTTATCAGTCAGTGTATTGTCACTGATAAATTAGTGACTAGGGCTTTATTACTGGCCGTTTCCATGAGGTCCCTGGCTACCTTCTCTTATGATCATAACCACGGCGTTTCCAAGGAATCTAAGCTTGCACTCCCTAGGGACATGGGGCTGCGGCAATACTGGGCGCCCCTTCTGATTTCTAGGACATGCAAAGGACCAGGTTTGCTCACCTCCGCACACGGTTTCTGTCTCCCGGGTGGCCCCCAGGTGGCCCAGTGGGTGGCAGGAAGTAGAGGCCCCTGGGGACTGGGGGCGGGCGTCCAGGTGGCTTCATCCCTTTGGCGCCACGGTGTGTGTGATGGGCTCTCCCTCACTGGCAGAGTACTGCGAGCAGCGGCCTGGTCACTCCCAAGGAGCGTGGGGTCTCAGGGCCAGCCTGGGGACAAGGGTGCAGGGTACTATGGGTTGTTGTTTTCCTGGTGTTGGGAAGCAGTGCCCTTGCGGCAGGATGCCAGGCAGGTGAGGCACCCAGCCCCTGTTTTACAGAGGGACTCAGCAGGGAGATGCCTAGGTCCCGAATCGGTCCTGGGACCACTGGGTGGGAAGGATCCTCCTGCTGCAAGGTTCTGGGCAGGCTCATCAGGCCCAGCACAGGTCACGTCTGCCCTGATCTGGACTCCTGGCACACATGTGTGCAACGTTTGACATGAGAACAAACCCACTTTGACCTTGTCCCCCATGCCAGGCCTGTGCTTAGGGACTTCACGCGCCCCACACACTCGAGGTCACTGCTGCCATTACCTCACACTTTAACTGAAGCACAGAGACCACGCCATCTCCTGTGCCCCACACGGCTCCTCCGTGGAGGGGTCATGGAAGCAACACGGTGCCCCACATGAAGTGCTAGAGGGTGCTGGGCCTCATCTCTGGGCAGAGCCCAGGGGAAACGGACTTGCTCTCTCAGCACCTGGGGCTACAGCAAGTCTCCCAAACTCTCTGAGCCCGTCTCCTCCCCATATGCAGGTCAGTGATACCAGCTCCCAGAAGGCGCCAGGTGATGGCTGAGGCACCAGCCTGGCCCCAGCCGCGGGTGCCCCGCTCGTCCCCCACCCCCACCCCCAGGAACAGGGTCCTGCGTGCACCGCTCACCTGCAACTCCTGCTCCAGGGCCATGCCCCAGGGTGGCAGGGGCCCTTTGCCATGATGAGCAAGGCTGCGTCACCCAGGCCAGGCTGGCCAAACGGAGGCTCATGGGCACCTGGGGGCACCCTCGGTGGCCACCAGGTGGGCAGGCCTGGCAGGGGGCAGGTTCTGAGGACCTCCAGCATGGCCAGGGCCCAGCCTGCTGCCCGGGGAGGCGTGCTGTTCCTCACGCCCTCGGGCTGCTCCTGAGCTGACTGGCCCCACCATCCAGCCTGTGGGCTCCTGCTCAAAAGCCCAACCAGCTGGTCGCTCACTCCATGTGAGTCCAGCTGGGCACAGCTGTCCCCCAAACTTCATTTCTGGGACCAAGTCAACACTGATTAAGCACTACTGGTCCCTGGAAGCTCAGCCATGAGGCACAGGGTCTCGGCCTCGAATGTGGTCAGGACACAGGAGGAACGCCTTCAGCACCCCCTGGGGCTCACCTGGGACACAGGTTCTCCACACAGATGCCCACCCAGACCTGCTGGCTCTCGGGCACGCCTGCCAGCTGTTCGGTGCACAGTCTGCTGAGTGACTGAGACACGGAGGCCTGGTAGCACGATGCCCGGGCTCTGCGGTTCCCGCGGCCCCTAGTGGCTCACACCTGTTTCTCACCAGGACATCCCACTCCCGGGCCAAGGCCGAGGCAGCCCTTGCAGCAGCCCAGAAGGCCCAGGAGGAAGCACGTATTGCCAGGATCACTGCCAAAGAGTTCTCCCCCTCCTTCCAGCACAGGGAAAATGGTGAGTCTGGGCCCCACGAGGGGGCCCTGCTGCCCCGCCTCCTCCGTGCACTGATCACGCACGCCTTGACACACGCATCCTCCCATGCATGCTGTAGCGTGCACACATGCCCGTGTGCAGGCTCTCTGCTCTTCCCCCACATTTTTCTAGAACCTTCTGTGGCCAGGGAGCTGTTCATTACCTGCTCTGTCCAGCAAGGTGGTTCCCAGCTGTGCAGGAACTGTGGCCAGGACGGCTGAGGAGCCTGTCTCGAACCTCACGTAGGCCTGGCTCATACACTCACACGTAAAGAGCCACGTGTGGCCAGCGGTGCCATGCTGGAGGGCACGGCTCCAGAATGAGGCGGACTCCTGCCCTGCCCTCTGGCAGCAGCTGGAGGAGCAGTTGGCCAGAACCGTGGCCCTCACCTTTCCGACTCTGCCAACAGGGTCACGGCTGTCTGGCCCACTGAACCTCCGCACAGCTCGGGGCCTGTGGGAACTGGCGGGGCTGGGGGGGTGGTCTTGCTGATGCCCTCGGGCCAGGCTTCCCCTCTGGCCTCACTAGAAGCTTCCTCCAGGGTGGGTACGGACCGCGCCCCTCCTGCCCCCAGCCCCAGCCTTCAGGGCAGCAGAGGGAGGGAGGCCAGGCCTGCTTCTGGGAGGCAGGGGGACCTGAGTGGCCCTGGAAAACCCAGCACCCAACACAGGAGCTGAAGGCGCCGGGGTCCAGCCACAGACACCCCAGCCCCACCCTGGTTCTCACAGCGGCACTTCCAGGAATGTCATGTGCTCGGGAACTAATTTTAGCTGAGGATGTCTCCCAGCTGGTGGCGCTGACAGGGCATCACTACGTGAGCGTGCAGGGTTCACAGCCTGGCTGGGGCTCAGGTGTGGGCCCTGCCCCGAGGGAGTTCCAGTTGGGCAGGGCAGGGCAGGGCCATGATCCTGGGGTCCTCTGATGGTGTGGGGCTCCAGTCCAGGCTGGAGGAGGGAAGAGCCCACCTGTTCTCTCACACCACCCCAGGCCCCAGAAGGCCCTGGGTGAGGCCGTGTGGGTCACCTGGCAAGAAAGATGCCCCCTTTCATCCCTGGAAGGGGACTGTCGGGGTGGGACCTGAGAAGCCCTGGGGCAGGCCAGCTGTGCCCTCTCACGCTCTCCAAGCCCTGGGCGTCCCTGCAGCTGGGGCTGGGCCCGGAGCTGCTGCCACTGCCTATCACGACCTGGCCGTCCTCAAAGTACCCATGGCGCGTGGGGGCTGTTGCCCGCTTCCCCCAGCCCTCACCCCCAGTGGTGAGCGGTGAGGGCCCTGGCTGCCCGTGACCGTAGCCTGGGCCCTGTCCCCACACCACCACAGCCTGGTCCTGGGCTCCCGCCGTGCTTGGGCAAGATCAGGCCTCAGCACAGAGGGTCTGAGTAACCCAATCTGTGTGTGCTTCCTGCCCCTCCATCAAGGGCTCGAGTACCAGAGGCCAAAGCGTCAGCTCTCCAGCAGTGACATCGAGGGGGTCTCCACCGGGACGCCCCTGCAGCAGGAGAGCCCCGAGCTGTACCGCAAAGGCACCACCCCCTCGGACCTGACCCCCGACGACAGCCCCCTGCAGAGCTTCCCTGCCAGCCCCACAGCCACACCGCCGCCAGCCCCTGCCTCGAGGAACAAGGTCGCCCACTTCTCCCGGCAGCTGTCAGTGGACGAGGAACGAGGCGGGGACATCCAGGTGCTCCCGGAGGGCCGAGGAGGGGACTATGTCCTCAACAGCTGGGGCGAGGGGAAGGTCGTGGGCCCCCGGGCCAGCCGCGGCAGTGCCCTCCGTAGCGGCCAGCCCACAGATGACTTCCGCACCCGGGGCTTGGGCCACAAGCCCCCCGGCAACCCCAAGCCCCGGGAGCGGCGGACGGAGTCCCCTCCTACATTCTCCTGGACTGCTCACCACCGGGCCAGCAACCCCAGCTCGGGGGGCACCAAACTGCTGGAGCTGGACGAGGAGAAGCTGAGCAACTACGAGATGGAGATGAAGCCCCTGCTGAGGATGGACGCATACGTGCAGGAGGCGCCCCCCCAGAAAAGGCGTTACAGCAAGGGAGGCGCCTGCCGGGGCCTGGGGGAGGACCACCGCTCCGAGGACCGGGGCTTTGGGGCGCAGAGACCGAGGTCCAAGTCCCACAACAAGGAGAGCTCCAGGCCGGCCCCGTGTGTGGGACCCGCGGTACAGAGACTGGGGAGCCTGCGGCTGGGGGGCAGGGCTGAGCCCCGGCTGCTGCGCTGGGACCTGGCCTTCTCCCCACCCCGGAAGTCCGCGCCCGCGGCACTCGAGTCGGACGAGGAGAGCGGGGACGAGCCCAAGTCCAGCACGGTGAGTGGGCGCAGCTCTGGTGGCGGGGGCCCGGCAGGGAGGCTGGGACAAGGCGGCGCTTGCGACCAGGGACTGGGACCTGCCACCCGGGACGCCAGCAGAGCAGGGTCACCCCCAGGCCCAATCCTTTCAGCGAGAGCACTTGGGTGGTTTGGAGGCCCTGAAAGGGGCTGGCCCTGCCCAGGCCTCCCGCGGCCCCATGCCTGCACTGGGTGGTCTTCTGGGGAGAAGCCACACCACCAAGGAGCCGGGGGAGCGTCCGTGTCCCGCAGGGAAGCCCAGAGGGCCAGACACAGCACATGGGTGGGGCGCCGGCCTGGGACACCTTTGTCCAGGCTGCACCTTTTCCCTGTGGGCCAGGCAAGGGGGTCTGGGCAGCCAGCAGAACACACGTGTCCTGCCCTCGGAGCCTACTCTGGCAATCAAACTGTGGGGCTGTCCACCCCAGGACCCCCCTTGCCCACAGTCGTGGCTCCTCATGCGTGGTCTGGACCGCGCACCAGCCTTCCCCGGGAGGCCTGAAGGCAGCCTCTTGGGCCTGTCCCGGCCTGCGGGCTCAGTCGCCTTGGGGGACCGCTGGGGTTGCTTGTGGAGGACGGGGCAGTGTCCGTGAGACTTGCCCTGTGCGCACACCTTCCAGACCGTGGCCTGGAGGACAGATCGGGGTCCTAGGACCCTTGCCCGGCAGCTCCCACCTGTGAGCAGACACGCCGGCCCCTCTGGCCGAAGGGCAGCAGAGCTAGTACATCTTCTCAGGCCACTCGGGCAGATGGCCTGGGCGCGGTGCCGTGCGGCCATGGTGCAGTGACACGCACCTGTGTCACCTGCAGGAGGGACACTACGGCCTCAGACACCCAAGCTTGACACCTCCCAGTGGGTCCTCTGGGACCCAGCACTACCAGCGGGACCCCTTGGAAGGGACACATTCTGTCACAAAGTGCCCTCCTAGCCTCAAGCCTCTTTGGCCTCCCCTGGAAGCCACTGTGAGCTTGTCTTTCTTGGTGGTGAGCTGGTTCCTAACTCCTCCTGCCCCCACACACTCCAGCCCCCCAGAAAGCAGCCACTGCGCCGGACCAGATTACTGGGTTCCACTTACAACCTGACTGTCCCACCGCAGTAGCTGGCAACCGGTGTGCAGTGCGGGCGCCCAGGCGTGCTGCACGCCAGGCCGCCTCAGGGTGCTGACATGGACAGGGCTGCGGGGCAGGCGGGCTTCTGCTTTGGCTTCTTTGGAACAAGGCTCCAGCCTTGGGTATAGACAGGGGCGTGAGGCCGGCTTCCAGCTGGTGCTGGGACTTCCTCTGCTCCCCAGGGGTGGCTCTGAGGGCACCCTGCATCCGGGGCCCCTTTCTGGGGTCCTCAGGGCCTCTGCTTCAGCTCCCGTAGGCCGGCTGCTTGGGGAGCCGGCCGGCAGCACGAGTGGCACTGGGCAGGGGTGTGGTTCCCAGGAGGGTGAGCGAGCACTCCCGTGGCTGCCTTTGGGGTCTTACGCTGGATTTGGGGGCCACGGCTGAAACCCCAGTGACAGTGCTCTTCTGGAGAGAAGAGCTGGTGGCAGAGATCATGCAGGTGTGGGGCACCTCCTTGGAGGGACAGGACGCTGGGAGGGCGGCGGGCAGGGGTGCCTTGTCCTCGCCTGGCCTTTAAGGGGTTTCAAGCTCCAGTGACTCGGTGTCTGTTACCGGCCCCTCCTGGTCGGCTCGGGAGGCGGGTGGGGCGGGGTGGCCACAAGCATGGCCCCCCAACTGCCTCACCTCTCCCTTTTCCTTTCCAGGGCTCCGCACCTATTCTGGTAGCCATGGTGATCTTGCTAAACATCGGAGTTGCCATTTTGTTTATTAACTTTTTCATCTGATGAGACTGTCACGTTAGCAAGAGTAACAGTCGGTATACAAAAGAGGGGTGTCAGAACAACAAAATGGGGAGACTCGTAACTCGGACCGCCCGACAAGTACTCCTGAGTCTTTTCACAGAAACACAGGATTGGGTATTACTCACAGTTTGCCTTTTTTTCTGGGTAATGTTTTTTGGATTTTAGCCAAAATTCCTTGCTTGTATAACACTATGCTGTGTGGCATGGCAGAAGGAGGCCCGCACGCCGACCCTCCAGCTTGATGTGGAAAGACAAGGGACCCCAGCAACGCAGGGGCACAAAAGATCACCTCCATCGAAGCCATTGCACCCCGTCCAGGACGTGGGAAATGTGGCGACTGGAGGGAGACCCGTCCGGCATCCGGCTGTGCCTGGCGAAGGGGGACAGCGCTGTGAGGCGGAGTGCAGTCGGTCAGCCCGCTTTTCCTGCGTGTCTGAAAGAGCGGGTGACAAGTATGGGCATGAGGCACGGGGAAGAGGGCATCCCTCCCCAGCTGGCAGCAGCCTGCACCGCCTTCTGTTGTGACCTGTGCCGTGTACTCAGGGAAGCAGAGCTCTGCCTTCTCTTCCGGGCACTGCCCCACAAATTCCATGGAGGCCACTCCCCACGCTGAGTCTTAAAGCAAAGTCCTGTTTCCTCTGCTGCCTGCCCGCCCTCCCGGCCCTGCTGGGCTCGTCCCGGGCCCCAGGGAGGCCGGGCTGCGGACAGCCAGAGGGCAGGAGCAGTGACCAGCCCCACAGCCACACCGCCGCCAGCCCCTGCCTCGAGGAACAAGGTCGCCCACTTCTCCCGGCAGCTGTCAGTGGACGAGGAACGAGGCGGGGACATCCAGGTGCTCCCGGAGGGCCGAGGAGGGGACTACGTCCTCAACAGCTGGGGCGAGGGGAAGGTCGTGGGCCCCCGGGCCAGCCGCGGCAGTGCCCTCCGTAGCGGCCAGCCCACAGATGACTTCCGCACCCGGGGCTTGGGCCACAAGCCCCCCGGCAACCCCAAGCCCCGGGAGCGGCGGACGGAGTCCCCTCCTACATTCTCCTGGACTGCTCACCACCGGGCCAGCAACCCCAGCTCGGGGGGCACCAAACTGCTGGAGCTGGACGAGGAGAAGCTGAGCAACTACGAGATGGAGATGAAGCCCCTGCTGAGGATGGACGCATACGTGCAGGAGGCGCCCCCCCAGAAAAGGCGTTACAGCAAGGGAGGCGCCTGCCGGGGCCTGGGGGAGGACCACCGCTCCGAGGACCGGGGCTTTGGGGCGCAGAGACCGAGGTCCAAGTCCCACAACAAGGAGAGCTCCAGGCCGGCCCCGTGTGTGGGACCCGCGGTACAGAGACTGGGGAGCCTGCGGCTGGGGGGCAGGGCAGAGCCCCGGCTGCTGCGCTGGGACCTGGCCTTCTCCCCACCCCGGAAGTCCGCGCCCGCAGCACTCGAGTCGGACGAGGAGAGCGGGGACGAGCCCAAGTCCAGCACGGTGAGTGGGCGCAGCTCTGGTGGCGGGGGCCCGGCAGGGAGGCTGGGACAAGGCGGCGCTTGCGACCAGGGACTGGGACCTGCCACCCGGGACGCCAGCAGAGCAGGGTCACCCCCAGGCCCAATCCTTTCAGCGAGAGCACTTGGGTGGTTTGGAGGCCCTGAAAGGGGCTGGCCCTGCCCAGGCCTCCCGCGGCCCCATGCCTGCACTGGGTGGTCTTCTGGGGAGAAGCCACACCACCAAGGAGCCGGGGGAGCGTCCGTGTCCCGCAGGGAAGCCCAGAGGGCCAGACACAGCACATGGGTGGGGCGCCGGCCTGGGACACCTTTGTCCAGGCTGCACCTTTTCCCTGTGGGCCAGGCAAGGGGGTCTGGGCAGCCAGCAGAACACACGTGTCCTGCCCTCGGAGCCTACTCTGGCAATCAAACTGTGGGGCTGTCCACCCCAGGACCCCCCTTGCCCACAGTCGTGGCTCCTCATGCGTGGTCTGGACCGCGCACCAGCCTTCCCCGGGAGGCCTGAAGGCAGCCTCTTGGGCCTGTCCCGGCCTGCGGGCTCAGTCGCCTTGGGGGACCGCTGGGGTTGCTTGTGGAGGACGGGGCAGTGTCCGTGAGACTTGCCCTGCGCGCACAACTTCCAGACCGTGGCCTGGAGGACAGATCGGTGTCCTAGGACCCTTGCCCGGCAGCTCCCACCTGTGAGCAGACACGCCGGCCCCTCTGGCCGAAGGGCAGCAGAGCTAGTACATCTTCTCAGGCCACTCGGGCGGATGGCCTGGGCGCGGTGCCGTGCGGCCATGGTGCAGTGACACGCACCTGTGTCACCTGCAGGAGGGACACTACGGCCTCAGACACCCAAGCTTGACACCTCCCAGTGGGTCCTCTGGGACCCAGCACTACCAGCGGGACCCCTTGGAAGGGACACATTCTGTCACAAAGTGCCCTCCTAGCCTCAAGCCTCTTTGGCCTCCCCTGGAAGCCACTGTGAGCTTGTCTTTCTTGGTGGTGAGCTGGTTCCTAACTCCTCCTGCCCCCACACACTCCAGCCCCCCAGAAAGCAGCCACTGCGCCGGACCAGATTACTGGGTTCCACTTACAACCTGACTGTCCCACCGCAGTAGCTGGCAAGCGGTGTGCAGTGCGGGCACCCAGGTGTGCTGCACGCCAGGCCGCCTCAGGGTGCTGACACGGACAGGGCTGCGGGGCAGGCGGGCTTCTGCTTTGGCTTCTTTGGAACAAGGCTCCAGCCTTGGGTATAGGCAGGGGCGTGAGGCCGGCTTCCAGCTGGTGCTGGGACTTCCTCTGCTCCCCAGGGGTGGCTCAGGGCACCCTGCATCCGGGGCCCCTTTCTGGGGTTCTCAGGGCCTCTGCTTCAGCTCCCGTAGGCCGGCTGCTTGGGGAGCCGGCCGGCAGCACGAGTGGCACTGGGCAGGGGTGTGGTTCCCAGGAGGGTGAGCGAGCACTCCCGTGGCTGCCTTTGGGGTCTTAGGCTGGATTTGGGGGCCACGGCTGAAACCCCAGTGACAGTGCTCTTCTGGAGAGAAGAGCTGGTGGCAGAGATCATGCAGGTGTGGGGCACCTCCTTGGAGGGACAGGATGCTGGGAGGGCGGCGGGCAGGGGTGCCTTGTCCTCGCCTGGCCTTTAAGGGGCTTCAAGCTCCAGTGACTCGGTGTCTGTTACCGGCCCCTCCTGGTCGGCTCGGGAGGCGGGTGGGGCGGGGTGGCCACAAGCATGGCCCCCCAACTGCCTCACCTCTCCCTTTTCCTTTCCAGGGCTCCGCACCTATTCTGGTAGCCATGGTGATCTTGCTAAACATCGGAGTTGCCATTTTGTTTATTAACTTTTTCATCTGATGAGACTGTCACGTTAGCAAGAGTAACAGTCGGTATACAAAAGAGGGGTGTCAGAACAACAAAATGGGGAGACTCGTAACTCGGACCGCCCGACAAGTACTCCTGAGTCTTTTCACAGAAACACAGGATTGGGTATTACTCACAGTTTGCCTTTTTTTCTGGGTAATGTTTTTTGGATTTTAGCCAAAATTCCTTGCTTGTATAACACTATGCTGTGTGGCATGGCAGAAGGAGGCCCGCACGCCGACCCTCCAGCTTGATGTGGAAAGACAAGGGACCCCAGCAACGCAGGGGCACAAAAGATCACCTCCATCGACGCCATTGCACCCCGTCCAGGACGTGGGAAATGTGGCGACTGGAGGGAGACCCGTCCGGCATCCGGCTGTGCCTGGCGAAGGGGGACAGCGCTGTGAGGCGGAGTGCAGTCGGTCAGCCCGCTTTTCCTGCGTGTCTGAAAGAGCGGGTGACAAGTATGGGCATGAGGCACGGGGAAGAGGGCGTCCCTCCCCAGCTGGCAGCAGCCTGCACCGCCTTCTGTTGTGACCTGTGCCGTGTACTCAGGGAAGCAGAGCTCTGCCTTCTCTTCCGGGCACTGCCCCACAAATTCCATGGAGGCCACTCCCCACGCTGAGTCTTAAAGCAAAGTCCTGTTTCCTCTGCTGCCTGCCTGCCCTCCCGGCCCTGCTGGGCTCGTCCCGGGCCCCAGGGAGGCCGGGCTGCGGACAGCCAGAGGGCAGGAGCAGTGTGGGGACATCACGCCTAGGACATCACCTCTGCATGCCACATGCAGATGTATCTCCAGGGCCCTGTGTCCTTCCCCGTCAGATGTCCAAGGCAGTGACGGCCCTTACGTGACGTCGTCTTCTCCTGCTATCACTAAGCTGTGGGTTTTCACATCTTTGTCCTGTACCCGCCTCCACTTCTCCGTACCTGCATATTCTTTCCAGATCGCCTCATTCGTGCTCCGGAGCTGGTCTGGTCCCAGGACAGAAATGTGATTGAAACCCAGTTGCTGGGAAGTTCCTAAGGAATCATTGCATTTCCCTCTCCCAGAACAGACAGCCTAACTTGTCTCAAGCAGAGACAGGTTCCTGGTATCTCTGCCTTCTCTGCCAGCGCTGTTCCAACACCCAAACAAAAAAAGAACAAGGCCCCAGGAAGTCTGGGTGCCCCGTGGTCCTGGACAGCGTGGATGGGCATCTGTGGCCACGGGCCTGCCCGTGTGCAGCCCCAAGCCCACGCCTGGAAGGTCCCGACAGTGAGTCCCCACAGCCGTCCTGGGAGCAGCCGCGCCGTGGGCTCTGCCTTGCTTTGCTTATGTTTAGCTGTTTCTCTGCCACCTTTTGAGCAGATTTCTTTACTACACTTAACTGCACTGGATTGCTATATTTTTAACCAGAAATAAACTAAAGATTAGAGCATGTTCCAGTTAAATTCAGTTTTATTTTTTTTCCTTACACGTTCACTCCCCGTTCCTTCTCATTTTGGTTTGTCTTGGGGAGTGGGGACATGGTGGGCTGGCAGGCACGTGGGACCATGTCCTCACAGAGCTGCTTCCTGAAAGGGGTCCCATCATTTGTACACCCACTTTCCGTTCCTCTTTCTTACCGTGGAGGTGCTGCTGCAGACCTGAAACAACGCCAAGGAAAGCTGCCTGCCCCTGGCACCCTCACCCATCTGTCCTGGGACCTGTGCTTTAGAAATGTTTGCAACTCTTTGTAAAGACGAGACCTCTTGTGTTGCTACTGCATGACACAAAACAGTACCTACAAATGCGAGTTACATATTCACATGCAAACTCCACGTAGTATTTCAGGGCGTATGATGAACAGCATGAGGGCAACGCTGGCTTCATGACTAGGATTCACAGAGGCGACTGGCTAACATCCCAGCACTTCTGGCTGCCAGTAACGCTCCCGTGAACCCAGACCCCATCCACCTTCTCAGCACTCAGCCACTGCCCCTGCACTCCAGTGAGCTGGAGCTGAGTGGGTCCCGCCAAGGCCACAAATCACTGGGTCTGAGAGACTCTAGAAGCTAATTTGTAATCAGTTTCCAAACCAATTAAAGCCCAGGCTGCCCAACAGGACCTCTGCCACCCTCCCAGCCCTTTCCACCTGCCCAGGCCCTCCGGTGTCCAGCCAGGTGCGCCAGTTGGCCGACCTGCTTGTCTCACGCACTTTCCTGGTGGCCATGTGCATGCTGAGCTAGACAGGACATGGACCTGCATGTCACAGATGGCCCTCCGTGTGCAGAGCATTTCCAAGTTCTAAGCAGTCCCAGAGCAGCCTCGTTGAGAACCATCTTCTCCCCCAACAGCTGCTTGCATGCCCTGAACGTGTAAAGCAGAGGCAGAGAAACGGAGTGATGGCAGATGGCCAGGCCCAGCAAGCCACCACCACCCCACCCCATCCCTACCCAGGAGAGCGGGAGGGACGGGCGCGTGCCCTGGCCCCAACCTGCTCCGGGGAGCTGTGCCTCAGCCTCGCTTGCGCTTCCTCAAGTTGGCATGGTGCCTGTGAAGTGCTTGGCCAGTTCCCGGCTCCTGGGAAAGTCTCCTGGTCCCGTCTTCTGAATTCTGAGTTTCACACCATTAGTAGGATACCCAGGGCAGATCCCATATGCAACACAGAAGCCAGAAGAATGGACAAGGAAGATGACAGCGACCTAGAAAAATCCAGCACAGCCACCAAAGTGCAAGGCCTGCTGCCAAAAACACTGGAGGGGAGGGGCGTCATCAGGGCGCAAGGCCACTCTCCCCCTCCCCTTCAGTCCCTGGCTGCGTCTGACCACCAGGCTCACTTCTCTGCTGCTGCACCATCTGGGGTACACGAACACGAACGTCACAGGGTGATGGCACTTTCCCACACGCGCCCGGCCTGGGGCCCAGGGCACACAAATAGGGCAGCCCCATGTCCTGGCCAAACCTGATGCCCCAGGCTGGTCATAAACTGCTCCCTTCGCTGTCAAACGAGCCCCAGTTTGGACAATAAACCCCGTGGCCACCACATTTGGAATCCGAAGAACACAGCTGGGCACCCAGTGGGGTCAGATACCAGGCCCAAAACATCGTGGACCCACAGGAGCAGGTGACTATTCGGGAGAGTGAAATGAGATGAAGTATAGTTTTTTTGCCCTTTTTTTTTTTAGTTTGGGTTTCTGATGATCCTTTAAAGGCTTCCAAGAATCTGGGACCAGCACCAGGGCTGTGCCTCTGGGCAGGGGCGTCCTCCCACAGTGGGGCTCCCCTGTACCCGGGGGTGGGTAGGAGCCCTGGGATGCCCACTGTGCCCCTGCCCACCCCTCAGTGGGTGCCCCCTCCCCACACGAGCAACAACACACCCTCATCCCTACATCAGGTTCACTTTCTCCAACTCCTACAGCTTGTCTTCCAATTTTCTGGACTTTGGTCTCAGAAACAGCACAAAGGCACCTCCTGGGCTTGTGGCATCTCTTTCCACAGCTGACCTGCTGCCCGACCCCACAGTCACTGGCCGTGTTGGCGTGGCTGACGGACGCCTCTGTCCTCCAGTCCTGAGTCACGCCATGGCATTTTTCAACTTGCCTGGAACAAGGGTGTGCCCCCCACAAAGGCCTGAGGTTCCAGAACAGAAGGGGCATGGCGATGCTCGGCTCTGCTGCCAAGTGCAGATGTCTTGTGGGTTTTGATCTGCTCAGGCCAGGCCAGGTGCCAGGCAATACTGTCGGCAAAGCCTGGAGCAGTGATGTGTCCCAGGTGCTGACTAGTGTCACTAACTCAGCCTTACAGTAAAAAGCACAGCTGCCTTTGTTTTACAACAAAACGAAGCTGTGTTTTTAGTGTGTCTGGAGGCCTGGACAGTGTGAGCCATGTGGCTACAGGAGCACGTGGCCATGGCCACTGCAGCGGTTGGGGCCAGCCCTTCCTGGGCCGGTGGGGCGGGGGGAGCACAGAAGGGAGCCGCTCAGAGTGCAGGCAGGCAGGATCAGCGAGGGTGCCAGGAGCGGCTCCTGGAGATGCAGCCCCGGCCAATGCACCCGCGGCCCACGTGTTAGGGACAAACACTGTTCTTGGAGTTTGCTTCTGTGTGAGAGCCCAACGTGAAGGCACCTGAAATACCAAACGGCAGCCCCTTCTGCTCCAGCTTGCCCCTAAACCTCAGAGGAGCAGGCAGCTGGCCAGGGGCACGTCAGTGTGGATGTGATCAGCTGGCACTGGTGAGTCTGGGGCACAGTGGGCCTGGGCCTGGAGGTCGTGGGGGACGGCAGAGCAGGGCTGGGCAGGGAGCAGCAAACCGAGCACGGGCACACACCACACCTGCTCCCCTCCTCGTCCTCTGTGCCCCCCATGGGCACAGGCCTCCAGTTGCACCACACTGCTCGGTGACATGATAACAACCGAAGTACAAGCCCATGAGGAGGAGGAGGCCCCCCAGGAATGGCCAAGAAGGGACTCGGCTAGAGCCCTGCTGCCCCCACCTTGCTGGCAGCACCCACCTAATTCTCTGCATGCCTGCTGTGAAGGACAGACAAGCGCCCAGGCTGCCTCTTTAGAGGTCAGTGCTTGACACACCAAGGCAGGTGTGGGGGTTTTGGTCCCCTAAGATCAGAGGCCTCACCCTCCAGCTTCCCACATGCTGATCATGAACAGGTTAGGGTCTCCCTCGGGACTGCTCGGCCCCCAGCACCCCAGAACTTGTGCAGCCCCGCCTGAACAGTAGCGATTACAAACAGCAGGCATGTTGTGCAGCTGGCCCTTTGTGGGCAATGCCTGCACCCTACCCCTTGCCCACGGTGGGCTTCGGACGGGCCAGGTTCCAAGAGAGCGGGTAGGAGGCAGGAAAGGAAGGGAGTCGGCTCTGGGAATGGCGCCCGCGGCACACCTCCTCCAGGCTGCTGCGTGCAGGGCCCGGGGCCCCCTGCCCTTGCCCCTGCCGACAGAGCCCTGCTGCTCAGGGGCCAGCACCACCATCGGAGCAGGGAAGCCTGGCACCAGGCCCTGCCACGCTACGTAGCTGGGGCACTGGCCCAGTGCCTCCGTGCACCGAGCTGACAAGGCGACACCTCTCCAGCAGGACCCCACTTGTCTGCACCACTCGCCATGTCCAAAGAGCCGCCCCCCAAGGCCGCCTGACTGGACATCCCTGCCGCTGTGTGCCACGGGAAAGCCCGCCCTCGCTCCGGACATGAGACCACTGGCCCGACGCAGATGCCTTTTTGTGAATAAAACGGTCTCAGGTCTCAGTCTGCATTTCCGTTTCTCCATCATTTTCCTGGTACACATGCACTGTTAACACGGTGCTACCATCCTGTGCATTGACAAAGGGAATGTTGACTATGTTGCTATTTCTTACTGATCAAGTGGCTAAAACCATTATCTCAGCCTTTTTTTTTCTTTTAGCTGGAAAAATACTTGGTTACTTATAAAATGAAAATAAAATAATTTTCTTTAATGAATGTACCTGTTTAAATCGTATCATTACTATGTATTTCACTATCCGAAAGCAAGGGACATTGTTGAAATTAAAGAACAGTTTTGCTCCTTGTAGTAATAAAAGTTATTTCAGACTCTGGACAACTTGCACCACCTGGTTATAGACCAGTGTTTAAGTTCCTCCCACTGCCCACATCTCCTGATGAATAAACAGGAATTCCTAGGTACAGGATTGAGCTTATGCTCCCCGACAGCGTCCTCCGGTCCCATCTGGAGGGTTGGGGCTTTCTGAGACCCAAGAACAAGCATCTGGAACATGCCCCCCACCTCCGGTGCCTACGATCCACTCTTGAATCCACTGTCTCAGGGCCCAGGTTTCCCACTGTGAACGGGGTGCCCGAGGCCACCCCACCCCACTGGTTGTGGTGCTCTCTCTTCTGCCAGCTGCTGGAGGGCATAGGGGGGGGCCCAGTGCTGGGCTCTGCCAGGGCCTCCCAGCATCCATTCTTCAAAGCTGACTTTCTTAAAACTTCCACACCCACATTTCTCATGGGGCGGCCCCTTGGCACGTTGCTCTCCATGTAGTTTCCCTGCCTCAGGACCCTCTGGACACCCAGGGTCTTCCCAGGCCACAGGGGCAAGAACCCCTCCCGGGCCATCCTGGCTCACCAGCACTCGGTCGGGCCCAGAGCCCAGCCCAGCCCCAGCCCCGCACAGGCAGCAGACCAGGCCCGGCCCTGGCTATGCCCGGTGCTCCTCGCACCCAGATGGCTCCTGCCCAGCACAAGGGTGGGGGCGGGCCGAGGGCCTGTCAGGACTGGGGCCAGGGGAACGCTGGGCTTGTGCCAGGCTCAGAGGAGGCTGGGTAACCCCAGTGCCAGCACCTGGTGGCTGCCAGCCACACAACTCGGTGCCTCAGCCTCCTGCTGGACACCGCGCTGAGACCCCAGGCGGCCATGCCCAGCCTGGACTCGGTGCCATCAAAGCTCTCCTGCATAGC